TTCACGACTACTGCATAGTGCGATATCGCGTTTTCACAGAAGTATTACGCACTTCACGTAAAACGGGTTGTGACACTCGGCAAATTTTTGTTCAATTTTGCTAAATATTCCTGAGCGTGTAAAACCTATAATTTTGGTTTTTCTCGTATGAGTGTCGATATTATAGCACATTGGAAAAACAATGTGTGTCGTAACTCTAATAAGTGCATAACAAGTAATATATTGCGTTTTTCACATGGAGTAATACGTCACTAGGCGTAAAACGGGTGAAACTCTTGCCGCTTTCCTCAGCTGAGCTCGACAGTTTGCTCACTAAATATACACGTTAACATACGAATCAGTGTGAAAGTGTATAAAATTTCCTCAGAATTCTAATTTTGACCATGTGCATATTTCCCCCCCATACTATTCGCGTCATTGAGAAATGCTCATGTTCATCATAGGTTCATAATCGTTGGGCGCGCGCAGTGAAAGATATGTCTGATGCATTGGGAAATACGGAGGAGGCGAAATTGCTGAATCTTCCGGTAGAACATGAGAATGATGACCTTGATGAGAAGATGGAGGAAGATATGCAGGAGACTGTATTTGGAAACGAGGGAGATGACGATCGATTTGGAGGTAATGTTGAATTTTAGGTCAATTTTCGAATGCGCGGAAATTCGATTGCGGGTGATAGTTTTCGATACTAGTGGCAAGTGAAGTTGATCAGGAGAGTATCGGTAACAGAACTGCAAGGTCAAATTTTGGATGCACTCAATCCAGCCAGCCCTACTTAGGGCCAGCTGTGAGCAGTGTTAGGGGAATATGTTTGTTTATCTCAGCTGAGGTTAGAAAACCAGCAAGAATTGCCCAAAATTTCCTCGGAATTTTCATATTCTAGTTGACCATAAGTGAGTTACGTCACCCAAGGGAAAAAAATGGGGTAGGGGAGAGGTTCGAGAAAGATAACTCGCTACTACGAGAGCTGCTCTTGATGCATCACGGAGTTTCCCGTAGGGGCTAAGCAAAACGCGGGTACCCATGAGATGTGGTTCAGTTGAGGGAAGCGAACGCGGGAATGTATTTAGT